TATAAAACTACCTTCAAGGGTAATTTAGCTAGGCATATGTTGAAACATCCTGATATACTAGTGAAGTTTCTATAAAAATGTATGAATGTGCCCATTGCACTTATAAAACTGCCTTCAAAGCTAAGTTGGTTAGGCATATGCTTCAGCATTTTGGGGCTGAAGGATATGAGCCCAATGTATGTATTCACTGTAACAGAACATTCAAATGTAGGAATAGTTTAGATGGTCATATAATCAAGAAACATTCTGAGTATATTCATCGGTTCCAAGTATGGCGAAGCATCCAGGGGCAATAGATGGACGTGAGCCTAAAACGTGTATTCACTGTAGTGCAAAGTTCAAATCCAAGGCAAGTTTAGATGATCACTTAATCAAGAAACATCCAGAAGATATTTCATCTGTTACAAGTATAATTCATGAATGTAAACATTGTATTTTTAAAACTACTCAAGATCTAATTACGTAGGCATGTGGGGAAGCATCCAGGGGCAGAAGGTGCGTGTCAGCGTAAAATGTGTATTCACTGTAACAGGACATTCAGTAATAAGATAAGTTTAGATGATCACATACTTGGGAACCATCCTGGGTATATTACAACAGTTTCAAGTAAAGTACACGAATGCATATATTGTGTTTATAAAACTGCCTTCAAGGGTAATTTAGCTAGACATATGTTGAAAACATCCTGATTTTACTAGTGGGGTTTCTAGAAAAATGCATGGATGTGCACATTGCACTTATAAAATGCTTCAAAGCTAACTTGGTTACGCACATGTTTAAGCATTCTGGTGCAAACGTAGCTATAATCTCAAAAAATGTATTCACTGTAAAGCTACATTTAAAGCTAAAGTGCTACTGTATAACCACATGATTAAGGAACATCCCGACTCCATAGCATCAGTTCCTAGTAAACTACATGAATGTACACAATTGCACTTATAAGACTTACTTCAAAAGTACCTAGCTAGACATATGTTGAAACATCCTGATGCAAAAAGTAGCTATAAGCTGAATGCTTGTATTCACTGTAATACAACATTTGTAAATAAGATCAATTTAAATGATCATGTAATAAAGACACATCCTGAACATATTGCATCAGTTTAAGTAAAATACATGAATGTAAATATTGCGCATTTAAAACCACCTCAAAGGTTATCTAAGTAAACATATGCGAAAGCATCCAGGGGCACCAGGCTATGCCCCTAAAACGTGTATTCACTGTAATGCGATCTTCAAATCTAAGAGGAGTTAGATAGCCATACAATTAAGAACCATCCTGAGCAATTTCATCAATTTCAAGTAAAATATATGATGCACTCATTGCACTTACAAAACTACCGTCAAAAGGAACTTCGATTGTCATTTAAGTAAAATGCATATGGGGACGCATCAGGGGCAAAAGCTATGCCCTTAAAACGTGTATTCACTGTAAGACGACATTCAAATCTAAGAGAAGTTTAGATAGTCATACAATTAAGAACCATCCTGAGCATATTTCATCAATTTCAAGTAAACTACATGAATGCACACATTGCGCTTACAAAACTACTGTCAAAAGGAACTTCGATAGTCATTCAAGTAAAATGCATATGGGGAAGCAACCAGCATCCAACTAGTATTAGCTCATATACAGTAAGTGTAGAAAGTATTCGTACACTTGGATTTCTAAGCGAAAGACTGCAATGTCTCTCTAATTATTGTTGCTAGACATCTGCAAAAAAATAGACATCTACATCAAAGTATTCTTTATTCAATCTGGTCAATCATTCGAAAACAAAACAAAATAGTCTCTAAAGGAAATAACAAACTCACAAAAATCTACCAAGAAGGCGAAAAAAAAGTATTCGTACACATGTGATTTTTCGTCATAAATTATCAGTCTTGCACATGATACATGAACATCACAACAATTTAGTACTTGGTTGGGCACCCCTTTCCTTTCAAAACACTCTCATACCGTTTTGGCACGGAGTCTATCAGCCTAGACGTCAGTGAAGGGGGTATGCGATTCCACTCGGTCAGTAAAGCAGTTTCAGATCCCCTCTGTTAGAGATCTGCCAATTTTCCCTTATTTTTGTCTCTAGGTAACTCCATAAATGTTCTATGGGGTTCAAGTCCGGTGATTGGGTGGGGTATTTAGCTGCTTGGGGGTGTTGTACAGCAGCCACATCTTCGTATTTGTTGCGGTATGTTTTGGGTCGTTGTCTTGCTGAAAGATGTAGTCATTTCCTAAACCCATTTTAATCGCACTTTCTTTCAAATTTTGCTTCAATAGCTCTATATACTTCTTGTGGTCCATGATGCCATCGATGAAAGCTAAATTACCCACCCCAGAAGCACTCATGCAACCCCACACTAAAACAGATCCACCATCGTGTTTTACAGTGGCACACAAATTCTCGGGAGAAAGATCTGTATTTTTCTTGCGCCACACTTTTTTGTTACCATCTGAACCAAAAATGTTATATTTACTCTCATCTGAGTAAATAGTCTTATTTCTGAACTCTGCAGTGTCATTTAGGTGCCCCTTGCAGAAGGCGATACGCTTGGCTCTGTTGACTTTGCTTACCCACGGCTTCTTCCGGGGCGTGCACCCGCGATACCCCTCGCTCCTCAACATGTCGCGATGGACACCTTGGTCCCCCTCTGTGACAGGTCGGCTACAATCTTCGGCGCACTCACTTTTGGGTTCTTTTTGATTGTCCTTACAATCACTCTCTTGTCCTGCTCGCTCAAAACTTTGGGCCGTCCACTCCTGGCCTTGTTTACCAACGTTTTGGTTTCACAGTACCGATCAATTACTGTTTGTACAGTCGACCGGGGTTGTCCTACTAACTTTGATATAGCACCTAGCGACTTGCACTGGTTATGGAGCCTTAAAATTAACTTTCGCTCCTCTAAACACGTTTCTTTGCCTTTGCGGCCCATGTTTACAGCACAGAATCTGAACTGAGCAACCTAGGGAGTAGTATCGTCTACCGAATGATAAGCGAGGTCGCCATGCGTTCGGATAGTGCGGCTGACTAGCGAGTTTTTCGGCATTATTACGACTGTACGAATACTTTTTGTGCGCCCACCAGGCACATTCTTGTGACTTTTTATTATTTTTAGAGTCTATTCTGTTTTGATTTTGGATTCCATCGATAAAATTGAATCAAGCAGAATCTAATGTACATATATATTTTCTTCGGATGTCTAACACCAATAATAAGCGGGATATGGTATTTTCGTTATGGAAACCAGGTGTGCGAATACTATTTACACTCACTGTAGAATGAATTATTGTCTCTATGCCACTGTTTGGAAGCACTGATTAGATAATAATTGTGTATGTGAACATATAATTGTGTGAATTTTTTGTAATGAATAACAGATATGAGATTTAAAGAAAAGTATCAGGATTTTAAACTCTATTATTTCTTGAAAATTCACCATATCCATTTTAATCCTTGATTGAAAGTATACCCTATTCTACGAGTATCCACCACGCTTGACGTCTACTGAGGTAACAGCTGATCAGCAAGTGACATTTTTGTGTTGGTCTGCAAAGTAACTTTTCTAAATAAGAGAGCTGTTAGCAAGTGCAAATGAATCTGTAGCGTACAAAAAAAACAAAACAAAATATGGCACTGACGGATCCGTCAGAATTATGTCCTTTGCCGATATCGGGAATTTTTGAAATATTACTAGATGATCAGCTGTGATTCTACCGTAATGGGATACTCGTGAAAAAGACTATACTGTAACATTACCGCATTATGAAATAGTCCCTCTACAAAAGGGAGGAGATTCGGAAACACTTGGATATCCTATCATCTGTTTGTAGACTAGCTTCTTGGAAGCCACAATACTTTTACTCTGGCAATATAGATCTGTGGAGATGTAACAAACGGCATAAAAGTTAAGAATTTTCTGAAATGAGGCAAAGTAGTGGATTGGCATCGCAAAATTACGATTGTCTTAATTCTATTAGATTAATTTTACCTCTTGGTACAAGCTTCTCCAAAAGATATTTTGATTTTATAAGATAACGCAGAAATGGAAGGTGTAGCTTTCGAAAAAACACATCGAGTCATAATAACTAGACTATAACCACTTACACGTTACGTAACGATTACTGGTAAATCTAACAAGGGCGGTGTTGCCAATCGTAGAGAATAATTGTATTTTTGTAATATATCGTTACATATAAGTATAACTTTTTTTTAATTTTTAATCCCTGATTGAAAGTCCTGTATTTGTCATGTTACGGCATCATGAAATTTCCTTCTCCAGCTATACAGAAGACAGCATATCCTCGAATATCTACACTTTATGTTACCCCCTTCTACTAGATGAGCGTATGTTATAAAAAAGCTCATTCACAATCAGATAAAAATTGAAAAAGGTAATCTCCAAATTTCTGATCTATAACGTCTTTCAAACCATTTCCTGTTTTATCGAAACTATAAAAAAGAAACAAAGTTCACCCACATTAAAAATTCATACCCCGCCACTGACAACCCGACTACCGATGGTTGAGTGATGTTCACGTGAACATAGGTGAGTCATTACAGTTTTAGATAGTTATGGTGTAGTACTTGTAATATGTATACCTATTCTAGTACCTAGCATATATTTTATCATTACATCAAATTTATGTTAATTATTGTTAAATATAATTCAGTCAAATCAGAACTTTGAGAAAAGAGACCCGTTTCCATCTAGTCAAAAACTTGCGTAAATCTCTAAGATGTTTAATGGGGTAGTAATACCACTTATGCGTTACGTAAGGAGAAAACGTACATCCGATACTATCTGGTATTGCCAGTCAAAGAAAAACTTTCTTCGATTGCAAGAAGTTCGATTTTCATTCTTAAGTTACTTGCTGGTAACCGACAATTCGAGTTCATGTTTGGACATCTTTTCGGTCAGTCCACAGAGGAGAAGTTTTTGAATGTTCCTCCTTATCTCATGACAGTTGGCTACAATTTGGCAACGCTGGCAAAATTTGACACCTGAAAGGGTTAAGATTTGTTGTCTTATCTGTCTCTGTCATTTTTGTCCAATGTCCAGTGTTCTGTGTTTTAAAGGGGTTGTTGATGAGGAGATCTGTGTTGTGAGAATTCTAAAATAAAAAACAACCTGAAAATTCACTTGGATGGTGAAAAATTTATTGTCACCAAGAATGACCGATGAACGAGATATTAAAAATGAGAAAGACAAAGAAACTACAAAAAGAAAAATAAAGGTGGAAAATGATTCTGAGAGCCAAGAATTTGAGGTCGCTGAAATCACCAAAGTGTACATTAAAGGTGAGAGTGGCCGATTTATCGATACAGATACCGCAGGCACTGTTTCGGAAAGGTGAGTCTACCAAATCAGACGTGGCCTCGTCGCTTCGTGCTTTAACTCTTTCTGACACACGTATTGCATGCTTCTCTCTCGGTAGGTTTATGAATGCAAACAGAAAATGTTCCAAGTTCCAACTAGGTGAATATAGTCAAAATCACGAAAGATGACTATTAAATTGTACTGGAGTAATCAATGGACGTACGTCGATGATAAAATAACGATGTCAGTAACATAATGACAACAAATTTATATTATGATTTTGCGAAGTTAGGTGATTTCACTATTTTCATTTTCACTTTACTTCATGGTTTTGAGTGATACCTTAATAATATTAATGGGGAGCTTTTGTTTGAAAAAAAAGTTGTGAGTAGAATAAGACAGGAACACCGAAGACCAAAGTATAATTCAAAAACAACCTAACCTGCTTTAACATAACCTAACTATCCATCTTTCAAATATGATCGATCATGCAACATGAAAACATCGTCTACCTTTGTCGGATATATAATAAAAATATTCACAAATCGCTGTCGTTCATCTTTACAACATAGTGAAATGATGACGTGATCGTCATCTTCCGTGATTTCGACTATATTTCATATTACATTTGGGGTAGCAGCTGTTTCTGTTTTCTTCCATAGCTTAGCAATCACTGGAGCGTTCAGCTATAATTTAAATATTGTGAAGTTGAGTGATACAGGTACTCCAATTTTTGCTAAAATGCCATTCTCTGCTAGCTGTCAGTCTGCATAGAATGGATACTTTTAAGATACATACATGTAACTTGACTAGTTGATGTGTCCTTCTAAAAAATGAATGGTTTATTAACCCTTTCGGTACGGCTTGTCACTGAACATTTTTATTCCTACGGCCTGAGACTTTTACATTGGTCATTGGCCTGCCGTCGGAAATATCCGTCACCTAAGAAAACTACCCACATTTTATGAAATAATATGAGCAAGTTATATTAAAACAATTATTTTATTAGGTAAAGTTACAGAAAACATAAACACATTAAACATTAGAACATTAAACATTAAAAAGTAGCCTCTGTGATATATTTTGAAGCAAGGGACCACGCATAATCCAACGTCACATTCTGGGCACATATAGCTGGACTCTTTTCTTTTTGCTTGCTTCTGCTTTGTATGGGAACAAACCCAACATCTTCTGGATCCAACCTTAGTACTGCCTGGTTTTCGTGGAACTGACACCGGAAAGTGTCTATTCTGAAGCCTGGCATTGCCCAAATCACAATGTATAGATTTTACTATGCCATACCTGCAAAAAAAAAGCATTTAGCAAATATGATCGAAAACTACAAGAAATCTTTACCTTTCTATAAGTTGAGCAATAACCGCTAGATGAAAATTGGCGAATGAAGTCTTCTTAGTATGTCTTGTGGAAAACATTGCATGTGCGTTTAGCAATGTTATGTCAATCGAATGGAAAAAACTAACTTCTTATACCATTTCAGACATTTTCGAGTGTAATCTATGCTACTCAGCATCATATCTGATCTGTCGACAGCCCCCATTTGACGGTTGTATTCCAGAACAC